CATCGGCTGGGTCAGCACCTGCAGCAGAGCAGGCGACGGCTGGCCCTCAGGGCTCGTGGACGGCGCAGGCTCGGCCGCCCGGGCCGTCGCGAGAGAAGTGGGGTCCGAGGCCATCTGCCTGGGTCCCCCTCCCAAGCCGGCCCCGTCACCGTACAGCAACGCAGTCACCTCCGCGGCTGGCTCCATCTGAGTCCTCACGTGCGGTGAAACAACCAGATAGGCATCTGCGTCTGCAAAGTCCAGGGGGTGTGTGCGTTCTAGCACATCCTCAGACTCCACCCGATCGCTCCATAACCTAGGAGGAGCAGACGTTCGGTCAAAAGAACCAAATCTCAGAGTGTTCATAGGCACCATAGCTGAAGGTGCAGCCCCAGTCCCGGGCGTCTATGAGGCGGAACCCAGGTTATTGGACAACTCATGCCCAACAACCTCCCTTCGCGCCTCCGTATTACCCGATCCATCATCCTTATCCTGAATATCCACATCAGTCCCTGCTAGAGCCTCAGCAAAGAGATCGGTATCCTCAAATTCAATCTCAAGGTTGTATACCAGGCCCCTATATGTCCACTTGACCATGTCAGGCACAAACTCGATGTCCAAGACACTCACCAGCAGTCGGGCCACCCCGTTTGCTTGGGTAAAGGCCATGTCCACCCTCTCAGTTTTCCCGACCAACATCCCCAATCTAGCAGTGACCCGAGCATCCTGAAGCTGCTTCGATGGTGCCCCTGAGAATCGCAGCCAGACCTGAGTGAGAGGCTTGCCCTGTGGCTCTACCTTCATCCACTCATGAAACTCAAGAATGCACTCGGTGCCAGGTACGCGGCACAACCAAAACTGACAAGACGCTCCAAGTCCTCTATTTTAGGGAAGTCCACCTTATACATATTGGCCTCAAGTCGCATAAGCTCCCACTGAAAATTACCTGGAGCTAACTCACTAAGTCTCTGCATAATCTGAGCCTCAGACACATCACCTTTTGTGACTTTGACAATCCCCGTGGTCGTGCTCTGGGGCTCCTCTGGGATCTCCCTCGCACTAGGAGACTCAAAAAACATCAACTCCCCCGTATCATGCACTGGCTTGAGGCAGGTATCACATAACTTAGTCACACATTCTGCTATAAAGTGTCCTCTCTCACCACAATGATAACACAACATCTTCTCCTTTTTACGAGCCCACTTGGAAGCTCTATCACCATCTGTCTTGTCGGCGGCACCGACAGCACGCCCATCACCAAGGCCTCAGTCACAGTCACGTCAGCATTAGCCGGCACCGTCACCGCATCCAAAGCCTGGCCGGACAATTTCGACGTCTGTCCAGAAGGAACCACCTCTGAGGATGCTGTCGGCTCCACAACGACAGGCGATGGAGGTTGGCGGTAACAGTTCCGACCACCGCGACCACCACGATGACCACGATAACCACCTCTTTGCCGGTAATCTGGGCCAGATGCCCCCTCAACAAAGCCTCCGAGGGGCCGTAAAAAGGTCTTTCAGCTGTTCGATCACTCTGCCATGCATAACCACGCCCGCCGCCCGTCGACGACGAGCCACGATGTTGTCCCTCACCATAAGTGTTGTAACCATCATCGCCCCACTGTCCCCGAGGTGGTCCATTACCACCACGGTTAACCGGGAAACGAGCGTGTCCCACGCCTCCATCGCCCACATGCTCAGGTTGAGGTGGCGGTTCATGTGACTACACCGGCCCAGACCGTTGTTGCGGCGGTCTTGCAAGAAAGTGAGGCGGCGGCGCAGCCCGGGGCTGCTGCCCATGCGCCTGCGACTGATTGCGAAGCGTCACCACTGCCATCCCTGGCGTCGATGGTCTAGGCCCTTGCGCGTTTCCACGCCCCGCAGCGGCTAGGGCGGGCGCCGTACCGGCCGACCCAGGAGCTGGCGGTCTTGGCTCCAAAGCGCCACCGCCATGACCCGCAGCGGCCGGCCTGGTCCCAGCGGCCGCCGAAGCTCTCTGACCCAGCGTGCCGCCACCTGACCCGCAACGGCCAGCCTGGTCCCAGCGACCACCGGGGTTTTCTGTCCTGGCGGTGCGCCACCACCACGGCCGACTGGCACGGTCCGGGCCGGGGGTTTCGGTCCTGGTGGACCACCTCCACGCCCCGCCATGGCCGCGAGAGGAGGAACACGGGCAGCACGGCCAGGCCCATACCTAGGAAACCCGGGAACGGCGCGAGTTCGACGAACCCTAGGCGGAGGCGGCAGAGGAGAGCGATCAGGAGAACGACGTCCTAGCGATGTGCATGCGGCTACATACACCGTAGATACGATCGGCGTTACTTGGGCCTCATACACAGGAGCGTCCGGTCCGATCCGCTGCGCCTCACGGCTGACATGCTGAGCCACATACCCGGACATGCCAGAGTCCGTGACGGCCTGCTCAGTCACAGGCCCAGGATGGCCCAGAAGCTGATTCAAACGCTTCTCCCTGGCCGCTCGGATCTGAGCCGCCGTGCTGGTCGCCGGCGCCGGCTGCGCCGCCACCGGTCGGCCCTTCCTATTCTTATTTCTAATCACACGAGTCCAAGAATCCGGCAAGAAGAAATCCGACAATGTGATTGGCTTGATACATACCTTGGGTATAGGTCCTTTTCATGGCCGGATCGTGGAGGCCGCCGTCCTCTGGTGAACAATCCGTCCAACCAGCTCCACCTTGTCCTCGGGGTTCAGTCCCTGCCGCGCTGGATCGTCACGCGGCACAACATCGTCCACAATCATGGCCACTTCCTCCTCCGAATATCCGGGATTGAACGCTTCACAGATCACATCCGATGGCGTCGGCGAGTACAACTCCGGCGAGTCTCCGGCGTAGTTCCCGTCGTCGTCAGCCTCATCGTCTGATTCCACGAGCGCCCAGAACCGGCCGCCGACGTGTCCACGTCCAGGGCCGGCGGAAGCCGCCGTCCGGTTCGCGGCGATCGCCGTGGGCGTCGCCCGCGTCGCCTGCCTCCCCCTCATTCGCTAGGAGTGCCACAGTGCTAATTGCCTCGTTCTTTCTTTGGATCATTGGGTCACATGACAGGCGGTGATATGGCCTGTTCGGGCGGGAAGTATGCCCTCCCAGCTATGTTCCTACTCCATCAAGAATGGCTTTTGGCACTGGTAGAGAGCTCAAGATTTTGTGCACTGGTCCAGACCTGCTCTTGTGATTTTTACTCATTATACTTTCGGAAAGACAAGTCTGCATTTGAAAATTGCTAATAGAGCTTGAGCTCCATGGAGCCTGAAATGCAAAAAAAATCAAAAAATTTATGTGTCAAAAAGTTGTGAAAAAAAGTACAGACATACCTTTGGATGTATACTATTTGTCTCTACAGTTTCATTGTGAAATAGAGTTTATGCAAGCTACACATAGTAAAAAAAGGGATTTCTAGCACATGTACCATCTATCTATTATATTTTACTATATACTAAAAGGAAAATACGGAGGAGAATTAGAGATATTGGCTAGAAAATCTCACATTAATCAGAAAATGACGACACTTCAACTTGTGGACAACGTGTTGGAACCATTCAATCATCGTAAAAAGATTTTATGTCAAAAAATGTATTAGAGATATTGGCTAGAAAATCTTTTCTCTCCAACTAAATTAGGCAGAACAGTACGTAGTGAATCTTCAAGCAAGGAGACTGGCTCAATTTGCATCTCCAAAATAATACTCCAGTCAAATTTAGTTTGGCCAGTCCAATCATGCACTCACAACGCTCCAAGATATACGTGAAGTGAGGTTGTCATATGCATCAAGTTGTTAATATAAATTCTTTGCTAGAAAGAAGAAAGAAAGAGGACTTCTAGTTGTGTTCTTTCAAAGCAAGTGCGTGTGGGGTCAAAATCCAGCAAAAAACAAAACGAACATCGTAGAATTCCATGCAACTGGATACTATACAAGTCGCCCGTAGGTGCGCCGTATGTGCTGGTCGAAACTTACCAAATTAGACTCCAGTCAGTGGGTCACTGGTTGTTAACTTGTTATTAGGAGAAACTGAAAGCCAGAGCAATACGCTACGCACTTCAAGTGAGCAGCTAGCTAGCCAGCACAACTAGGTTTCGGCCACCATGTAGTATGCAAGTTGTATGCTTTGGAAGGATCGTCCCATCTTCTCCGGCAAATCTGGATCCGACGCCAGTCCTGTCAACTGCCGCCGTCCTCCATCGCGGTTAGCTAGTATGCATCAGATGAAACACCGACGACCACTCACAGTCGTCCATTGTTGAAAGTGAAACAGTAATCCCAAATTGCTTTGGCTGTTTATTTATTTATTTAATATCAGTGATTCCTCAGGCGATCAACATGAAAATTTCTTACGATTTGTTCTTGGTATCATTGCTGCCTTGCTTGCATTCAAACAGTCTCCGTCACCACAGAAGATTCTTTCTTTGAAACTTCAGGAATTTATTTCAACCTCTAAGCAAGTCACAGAGACTAATGTGCATGATTTCACATTAAGATTAGTGATACACACGCTGTGACAGGACACTCCACGAATCCTTGTCATGTCTAACACCAGCAGAAGTGAAAACACAATCTCACACTATAAATGTGAAAATCATCCTGAGCTTGCCTATGTGCTATCTTGCTGTTTGTCCTATGGATGTTGAAGACTCTAGCATCAGCTTCGTTACTGTGGTTGATGAATGTATTAGGTGCAGGTCTGATTGTCCTAGGTGTTTTTCACTGGACGCCTCGTTGTTGCTTGCCTGCTTCTGCCAAAACTTGATTATCTGCTAAGCAATTTGGTTTATAAAGGTTCAGCACCTTGGCTACTTCAGAAACCAGCTCCAAAGCATTAGCTCCAGCCTGTATGACTGAACAAGCCATTGATGCCGCAGTGGAAATAGCTTGGTGTTTCCCTCCTGCTGACAAACGAGAGGCAGTTTGGTAACTACAAGTTTGCCTTTTTTTATTCCTTCTCCACCGCATTACAATTTAAAATCGTTGAAACAAAGATTAGCAACATCCGATGTAAAATATTCATAAATTACATTGAAGTTGTATCAGAGTGTTCTGTTATAGCTGCAAGTAGTCTTGGCATTGGGGGCATATCAATCTCCTGTAGACCCTCAAGAACACGTACCACTTCATCCATCGCTGGCCGATCAAACTCATTATCTTGAATGCACCAACATGCAACTTTGCAAAGCCTTTCAGCTTGTATCGTATTGAAGTCGCCATGTAACCGTGGATCCACCAAACTCCCCACATCCCCTTCATGAAGCTTGTTGACGACTTGTACAGGGAAATATTCAACATGATAACTGTTGCTAGTGGATTCTTCACCTGAATTTCTCCTTCCTGATATGATTTCCAACAATACCATGCCAAAGCTATAAACATCAATTTTTGGTGTAACAGCAACTCCACTAAGCCACTCTGGGGCAAGATAACCTACAGTTTCCCTGAATGTAGTCAGAATTCGACTAAAATTTCTTCCCAGAAACGTTGCCAACCCAAAGTCCGCAACTTTAGGAGCAAATGATGCATCGAGGAGTATGTTTTCTGGCTTAATATCATAATGTATGATGCACTTGTGGCAACTCTGATGCAAGTAGAACAATCCTCTAGCAACTCCTAGTGCTATTTGATACCTGGTACTCCAACTTAACACACCAAAATTGCTCTTAAATAGATGACCATCAAGAGAGCCATTTAGCATATGTTCATAGACAAGCAACCTATTATGTCCTTCACAGCATAAACCAATCAATTTGACTAGATTGATATGTTGGATCAGTCCAAGTGAGCTCACCTCATCCCTAAATTGCTTCTCTCCCTGGCGAGCACCATCAAGCCTTTTCACCGCTATCGGAGTCGATCCACTTAACACTCCCTTATAAACAGTGCCAAAACCACCTCCTCCCAGCTTTTCAGAGAAGTTTTTTGTAGCGTGGACTAAATCGGTGTATCTAAAGGCAATAATCCCACCACAACCTTGGTTATCGTATAATGGAGAACAACACCACTTGAATTTGTTCCTCTGAACCACTAACAACATCACGAGCATTATTAACGCAAAGCTAATAATGCTTGCAGCAATAACAACTCCAACGCTTAGTTTTCTTTTGTTTTTGCTCAGACTTGGAAAATCATTGGCCGCAAGGCGAAGGTAAAGAACATCTTCAGCAAAAATTTCAATGCCATCATTCAGATTTACACTAAGCAATTCCCCATGCCAGACAGAGCACATGTTATTGTTATAGGAATAAGCAGTGCAGGAGCAGGAACCTCGACAAGCTTCTTCACATTTTCTCTGAGTGGTAATATTTTGTATGCCTTTTGGATTGTAGCGCAATGTAACATGAGCAATAGGGTGGAACATGTCTGTTGAACTTGTCTTGTTGGTAGGGCAATGTAATGGTGTACTTCTGATGCAACCTCCTGTCCGATCATCAAGGTACCAATCTGTTGGCGACTTCTGAGAGAAGCTCTCCATACAATCACAGAATGGACGTGCATTACCGCGTGCAGTGCCATTGCAGACCGTGAAAGGTCCGCAGGTAGCCGTCGGAGTGCAGGGATCAATAGGTTTGGATTGTACAGTTTGCCAAGACTGTTCGGCTTCCGACCATATATTCAGCTTGATCTGGCCAGAGATGTCTAGTGATAATGTGGAAGATGATTCATCAGGTGAAAGTGTACATGTAGTACTCCTCTTCGTTGTTATCAACGTATGTTACGTTAATCAAACCTTTGGTCCGCGAATCCGCATTTATAACCATCATAATTACTGGTAAAAGTTTGGACATTTGTGATGTTCCATATTCCCAATTCCAGTACACTACTGAGGGATTTCGGCGCTTCATGATGATCCCACTGGTGGCTAGTTCAAGGGTGTATGAGCCGAGACCTGGATCAATCAGGCTCTTCTTAGAGATGCCAAATCTACTCAAACCGGTGATCTTGTTCCGTCCTCCCTTGGCACCAGGAAGCAGAACATCTGTTGGGTAGTCGAAACTCTGCCACAACGGCAGACCAGATGATGGGCCTTCTGTGAGGACAAGGTTTCCGCTGTTCAAGAGAACGGCGGTACTACTGGTGTTTATCTTGGTTCGTGTTCTATTGATGATGTGAGTGGACCAGAGTACAGACTCGGTACCGGCATGGTTCACGATGGCAAGATTGCCATCGCTAGAGATTTTGAGCTGTGTTAGGTGGAGCTCGGGGTCGGATATTGGCTTCTCTCTATTACCAACCCAAACATTAGTGAAAACCGGTATCTTATTGAACCATATGCCAAGGTACCAGTTGTGGGAGGTGGTGGTGTCGGACTTACTGATGGTGGTGCGTGCTGCAGGCTGGAAGAAGCTGAGCGCGAACTTGCTGTTGCTTGAGACAAGCTTGTCGCCAACGGCAAGCGTTTGGCCTGCCGTGAGAGTATCATGTGAAGTTGTAGAGGAACATGGAGGAGCGCGGAAGGAGGATACGAGGAGAAGTAGGAGTAATGTGTAGAGGGCAGGAATGGATAAGAGTGTCTAAGGATTTGACAGAGCATGAGTAATGTGTTGACGCTGGAGGGATGTTGTGCTGTTGGGAGAAGACAGAAGAAGTGTTTTTATAGAATGAAAATGGCGGAGCGTATCATACACGTTCAGATGATTGAAGGAGAAGAAGAGCCCACTTGGAGAAGAATGGCTATATGTTTATCAAAAAGAGACGAATGGCTACATAGTATATACCCACATGGGCAGCCACTTGGACTAGTTATACGTGTACTCCCACGTCCTATATGTGTCAACAAGAAAGCGGTCAAAAATGTCCAGCTGAATGAAGGAGAAGGACGTACGGTCCACTTGGGGTCAAGTAGATTAGCATGTTCATCTGAGTGAGGGAAGCTTCCATGGCCCTCTCCCTTGCTCCAGCCAACCACGGGCTTGAGCAAGTTGATTAGCATGTTCAGCTGAGTGATGCCTTGGTCAAGTCACTCACGAGGCTTCCACGAAACTGATGCTGCTTACACCAACTGCTGATCTGGGCCTGAGTACAATACATTACGTTTGTAGCAAGTTGGCTAGACTGCACTTTAGTAGCTGCAAGTCCGGAATAACTTGTTCGCCGAAGCGAACATCATGTATCAACTAGCTAAGTTAAATAAAATTTACATGGTAATTCTAACAAATTTGCCATGGAAAAAGAAGCCAAAAAATACATTTGTAAGACGAAAATTTACCATGGTATGATTAATAAAATTGCCATGATAACTATGATAAAACTACCATGGTCCAATAAAGAAATTTGCCGTGGTCTTAGTAAAAAACATTGCCATGTCTTAGATAATGGAATTGCCGTGCTACCAACAATTGATTAATTAATGAAAATATGACGGTCTAAAAATATAATTTCATGCCACCTATTATAAAATTACACACAACTAACTTGTGGATTTTGTTCTCTAAAAAACATGGCAACTTTCGTGATTTTGTAAAAATAATGGGCACATGTCAAAAAAAATATGAGTTTTTTTGTTACGAAAAGGATGAATATTTTAGGGATTTGTCATGGGCACATAGAAAAATTTGAGAATTTGTAAGAGGTAAAAAGGTTATGGATTTTTATCTTAAAACAAAGATGTATTTGTCGTGCACACATGCAAAATTAGGGATTTTGTTTCTCTAAAAGCAATCCAAGTTATGAAAAAAAATTAAAATGACACAAGTCAAATTTAGAAGATTTATTATTTATCAAATAGATGGGGGGAAATGGCAAATTTCCATGTCCATAAGCTAATTTTAGGATATTTATTTTAAAAATATGACAAAATCTAGGAATTTGCCATGGGTACATGAAAAAAGTAAGTATTTTCCATGGTCATCAGGGAAAAATTAGGAGATTTATCTTCTATATCTAAATAACAAACCCCCACTACCCTATTTCTCTCAAAATGCAAGCATGCCACCTCATCAATCAACATGCATTGGAAAAGGGCCACCCTCACTAACCTATTTCTCTCAACATGCAAGCATGCCACCTCATAATTAACGCAACATCGGTGGGAAAAGACTCACCTCAACATGCAAACATACATGAGAATTTCAATTCTATTATGCTACATATATTATAAATATTTTACATCTATACAGTAATCAAACACAATAAATCATATGTATTTAAATTTTAGTTTTTATATTATTTCTCAAAATATTTATGTTCTATACAACCAAATCTCACTGAAATATAATGCAAAACATCCCCGCATCAATGTGCGGGTTATCATCTAGTTCTTCCAAAAATGATGACAACATTAGGAAATTATTAGAAGAGGAGATGGCAAATTTTCCATGATAAGTACAATAAAAATGTCATGGGCATAGATAAAAAATTGTAATAGGCATATGCCTAACTTAGTAATTTTGCTCTTCTAAAAAGGATTTGTTATGGTCCAAAAAATACATTTCCTATGGATTGTTCAATAAATTTTCCATGGTACAAAAAACAAAGTTGACAGTGCCCAAAAAGTACATGCCAAATGTTCATTAATTTAGTATCTATATCATGTCAAATGTTGTTCACATGGAAAAATTGAAAAACAAATTTGGTATTGGAAAAAGTGGCTAATTTTCCATCGCAAATTTGAAAAAAATTGAAAAAAATGAAAAAAAAACTTGGCAAAAATGTGGATAAAAATGACCTATGTAGATCATGGGCACAAGATAAAGATTTTGTAGTGGGGGCATGGGAAATTTAGTAAAAAAAATTGAAAAAAGTATGGTGGCCATTACAATTTAAGATATTTGATACACACACAAAAAGTAGTCGTGATGTTTGTAAAAATGGCCATGCCTGAAAATTTTACATTTTGCCATCCGTGAGAAACTAACATTTGCTCCGACTTGAAAAACTGAACAAACGGAAGCTTAAGAATTATGTTTGAACCTAAGTTGGCCCACATGAAAAACTTCATGCTATTTCCATCGAAATCTTAACAATAATGAAGATTCATGCAATTTATCGTGTATGAGGAAATAAATTTTACTCCCTCCGATCCAAATTAATGGACGTAGCTTTAGTACAACTTTGTACTAAAGTTGGGTCACTTAATTTGGGTTGCAGGGAGTATCAAGTTGCCATGTGTCCATTCATGAATTTGCTATGGTCAAATACAACAAATTTACCGTGGTTCATGGAATAAAATTGCCATGTGAACATGGAAAGAACATGAACAAATTGTCATTAATAGTTTATAGCTAAAGGAAAGCAACTTAGAATTGCAATGGCATAAACATAGCTAAAACAAAAACACAACATAAGTAGTCAAACACATCATGTGATAATCTTGCTAGTCTTTTCACAAAGTCTCTACTAGGATCCAGTTCT